TCGATCGTCTTGACATGTCAACCCCAGCTTTATTCGGCTACTCTTCTTCGTTTTCCTCTTCCCTTTGCACCACCGGAGCATGCTTACTGTTCTAGGATACCTACTTTTGTTTCGGGCACTGTAGCTGTAAAGTTGCGATTTTTTCTGATTTGTTTTTACCGTTGGTTTGTTATTGCGCTGTTTTGAATAGTACGGTCATTTTTACTACCGGTCATCCTGTCGAGCCATTCCGGTTATCGAATGCTGATATGTTTCACTCTATTTGCTGGTATTTTACGAAAGTGACTCGGTAACTTCAGTCGTTAAACCGTTTTGTCTGATCATAAGCTGTCACAGTGTATGTTTCTCAGAGCTTCTGTCCCTCTCGGGTGCTGTTGCGCGGCCCTTTATTAGGAAGCCGCTATCCGTTCCCAGTATGTTTTATATATTCCTGCCCGGGGCCGGGATGATTCAATAAATGTCACCGAGGTTTTTTTTAGCGAAAACTCCGAGGGCCGTTAGGCCCGAGGTGATTTTGCTAAAAAAAGCGAGGTGACATTTATTGAATTCCCGGCCTTAGGGCTGGAAGGTGTTTCCCATACCTGCCAAAAAGCTCACAACCATATGATAATGACGTCAGCAGCCGTGTGGTTCAACGTGCTTAACCACACCCCTTGAACCACACGGCTTGTAATATTAAAGCATTGCATTAAACTTCGAAAAGTGTGGTACAGTGCACGTGCCGTTTAAATGCCTGGATGCCTCGATTTAATCATGCAATGTAGCAGGTATGGGAAAGTCGATGTCTAGCCACATAGAGTTTCCATTTCCGACAGCTGCTGGACGGCCAGCAGGAGGGCTCGGAAGTTCGAGGCACCAACACCGCGGAGGAGTTTGTGTTCCTAAAGTCGCGGCTGAGCAGCGCAGCTGACTCTTGCAGTGTGCTCCAGTCCGAGCTGGGCAGAACAAGTCAGGTGGGTGCTTCAGCAATACCTCTCGGGGATCTCAGCCAGTCGATACGGTCCAATGCTTGAAGCAAGCTTTCCCATTTTTTTTTCTTAGACGGAGCTGAACCTTAACACTCTAAAGCGTAGTTACTGCTTCGGAGTGCTGCTTTGTCTCATCAATATGAAGTTGAACAATTATGTGCCTGACTGTTTGGGACTGTTGTCTGTTCGCAGACTGAACTGGGAGCTCGGCTGTCTGCACAGGAGCGAGAACTGCAGCAGCTGCGTCGCCAGCTGGCCGACAAAGACAAAGCCATCCACCTGCAGCAGAGCCAGTTCGACGAGGCCATCAAAGCGCTGGCCACCTCTCACAGTCGGGTGAGTTCTACCTTCCCCAGTGGGGCCAAAGTCCAATTAGACGGATCAGCACCACCTCCCTAGTTAGAGCAGTACCGTATTATCGGTTTAGGTATCGTTAAGTTCCAACCGTGGAAACGTTTTGGTGTCGACTTAGTTTGAACTCAAAGGCTTGTTAATAAAATGATTTTTAATGCACATATATCAACAGTCACACGATAGTTTGAGCTCGCTGGGTAAAACTTGAGTGACCTGACCCCTTACTAAGCTGACGCTACCTATGTTTCTCCAGCCGACGGATGGCAGCAGGGAGACGCCTCAGTCGCCGGTGGTCAGGACGCGGGGGTCGGGCAGGGAAGAGCTGCACATTCTCAGAGAGGCCATCTCCAGCCTAAGGGCCAGCTTCAGGTAATGTACATATAGTATCTGCTTACAAACGTCACGGTGAGATCGGTGATATTCCGCAGTTTTACTATTAGTACGCAATCGTAATGTTTGTCATGGATATAAAGGATATCTAACTTTTTTCATTTCACTCCAAGTGATGCACCGAAATCTATTTAATTTTTCTTGCAAGCTGCACCACAGTCTAAAGTTTTCATTGGTAGCGTCTCGCTCTCTGTGTCCTGACTCGCCTCTGTGTCCGGAGTGGTGACCGTGTACCTACCTCCGCAGGGAGTCTGACCCGAGCCACCACACTCTGGATACGCTGGAGCAGTGCCTGGCCGTGGTGCTGGACCGGCTGGCGACCGCAGAGGCCGGCAGACACGACCAGCAGTCGGGCACGCCGGCTCCCAGCCGTCGGGCACCCATCACCAGCATACAGGGACACCACTCCTTCACCAAGGTGGGCTACATCGCGCTGACAGGCTTTCTTGAAACCCAGAGTCCAGCCGCTGCAGTGTTCGGATTATGGCGATAACTCGAATCATTTTTACTATTATGTTATGATGCATGTTATCTATGGCTGAATTTATAGTATTACCGAGTACAAAAAGTAAAGCCGTGCTTTTTGGATCAAAGGAACTTTCTTACTCACTTCAATGTACTAATGTCATAGGCGGCGGAACGGGGAGGGCACCGGGGCACCGTGCCCCCCTTTGATTTTGGCATTTTAACATAAGCCCTATGGGCGTTGCATGGAAAGAATGGGACCAAAATTCGGCAGTGCCCCCCTTAATTGAAGGTGTTCCCGCCTCTACTGACTAATGTGCTGTCGTATACGTTTTTTGCGTCCCCCAGCGATGTTTCTTGAATGGGTCGACGCCGACGTAAGCGGCGAGTGACTTTTCAGAGGCCGCTGCCTGCGGTCGGAGTGGGGGAAATCGGCAGATCCCAGTGGCCTCGACCGCCGCCACATCTCCTCAGACCGACAACCTGTCGGAGCTGGGACGTGACCAGCATCAACGCTTCTGCCTGAAGTACTGGAGAACCTAATTTATGTCCTTATCGTCCCACAGGTCGTTTACTACACGGAGAAGACGTTAACGCCGTTTCTGTCGTCGATTCCGAAACAGCTCGGTGAAATCACGCTGCGAGACTTCAAACAAATCTTTGACAGAGCTGGCAACTTTCGGTTCCATTTCAAGAGCATGGATCCCGAGTTTGGCATGGTGAAAGAGGAGGTAAGCCAGGCCAAGCACCAAGTTAGCTGGTCCGATGGCACAGAGAGTGGCGTAGTCTGCTCGGTTATCTCTCATACCTCACTTCTATTTGATAAGATTAGTCACATGTCGATGTTTGTTGTTTTTACGGTTATCATTCGAAAAAGAGTTAAGAAGACTTAGCTTTCGTTTTATCAAACGTATTACAAATTATTTTCAACTTGCGATTTTATGGCGAGGATATTTAGGAAAAGGTATTTAGCGGAAATGGCTTGCTGGTAAACCATCACACTAATGTATTTTGTCGTTACAGATTTCCAACGACGACGAGATTCTCCCTGGCTTTGACGGCAAGCTGATTTCGTGGGTGGTGGAGGACCACGGAGTGTGATGAAGTAGTCCATTTGATCAGATAGTTTACCGTCATCGTCTCGTAGCATCACATGGTTGGGTGGTCTTGACATGCTGAAATGAAAACCATGCAGATGCATACAGTGTGGCTGCTCTGACCACTTCCACAGTGGATTTTGCCTGCAGTGTGCACTTATAATGGGTCGCACGTGCAAACGATGTGACAATAAGCCTATAAACGATATTAGGTTTGCCCACGTCTAAACGGTGCGGTAATGGCAAACGGTAAACGGTACGGTAAGCGTTATAAGCCAGTTTGCTTACGTTGCGGCAATGGGAACTTACAATCGATATGCAGAACGTTTTTTTTCTGGCTAGCACACGTAGCCAGCGGTTCAACTGAACTATACCGTATTGGTTGTGGAGTACATATACTTAACTGATCGAACAAATGCCAAAGATCGATGTACAGGGACCAGATGTAAAAAATGAACATCTTGTGTAAGGACAGTTTTGTGCTGCTTTACGGCGTTAAGAACTACTGCAAGTCGTACTCAGAATGCGAGGATTTACATCATTATTTTGTTAGCTCTTTTCTACAACATATCGTGCGTGGCTTTGTTGTTTGTTACTGTTTTGAGTTGACCAACAGCGTTCTTGGACAGTGCTGGAAATGAATAAACAATAATTGTTTGTGAATTTGCCGTTTCTTTTGTAGTAAGGTTGGCTAAAATATAGCGAGTCAGCGACCGACAGAGCAAAACAATGTGAAATGATGACGAAAACGGAAAACGTTTTAAGCGTTACGTTATAACTTGTTAATCAGTTATTGTTGAAACTTTTATCCCATGATTTCGTTGAACGATCGCTAAATGAAATGGCTCCCATACGCTTCTCTGCATCCAAGCGGATAAGGAGTTTGTTGTTTCCAACGTGTATAGCTTGTGAACGACACACCATTGTCCGGCAGTTCACTTTGTCTGAGCTGTTCACTAAATTGCTTTGAACGGTAGGCATTCAGTGACATGAACTTTTACAGCGGAGTGGGGGAATGTATGCAAAATGCATGAGTTTAAATGCATTGTGTGTGAATGTCTGTTTCCATTTTGCTTTTGTTGTTTTCTCGTCAGGACGGAAATGATTGAAAAGCGACTGCTATCGACAATCGTGGACTTCATTTAAATAAATCTGAATATGAATTAGCACTGGGATAGGTCAATCACCGTCTGTTTTGCGGCGGCCAGCGCCCGGCTCCCGGCGTCAGGCTCCGAGGTGCCGGCGCCCGGGTAACCTGATCACTCCGTCTGTTTGGCTAACCAATCGGCTGGTGACTGGCGGGAGCTATATGATCGCCCTGGGCAGTTGTCTCTTCGGCTGACCAATCAGCTGCCGGCCTGAGGCGGTGGCTCTGCTCGCCTCGGGCGCTTTCTGTTCAGCTGACCAATCAAATGACGGCCAGCGCCGCTCCCCTCCCCCTCCCCCTCCGGCGGACATGGCTGTAGCTCTCACGAGACCGGCCCTGATCGGCCCCATGAGCGGCATCTGGGATATCAGTGTTTCTGAAACCGTTGCCTTGAGACTGAGAGCAGTTGACCTTACTTCTCAATTGCTACAATAAACCCAAGCTTCAAAACTGACTTGAAAAATGTCCGTTTAAATGCAAGGCACTGCGGATGGTGAGTTACGATTCAGTCAATCTTTTTATTTTGGCTAGCTTTTTACCGTACATTTAGGTAATTAGAGCTCTTTAAAGACTCTCAAATGTAGCAAACAACTCATTTTATTAGAGCTCGTGTAACAGTGCATATGACTACAGGCATAATGTAAAACGCTGCATCACAAAGTCAAACATAACTTTACGTGTAGTAACGGCAACACCAGGGCAAACTATGTAGTCCCAAATATCTTACAGTGCAAGAAAAGCATAGAGCGAACCGTCTGCCCTGCAGCCGCTCCGTGCATTCGTCTCTTGGCCGCGTAGATGTCACACCGTAATACATACTCGTGTCTCCTGCCGTCTTCGGAGAAGGCGTTTCATGTGTCCACCGAGCTGACGCCCTACATATCAGAGAACAGCCGACCAGTGTAGCCGACGTTTGAAGCTCCGGGGGTGACGAAAATCGAGTACATCCTGGGAACAGGACATACAGGTCCAGCTCATGATGAATTTAAATCAGCATTTAAATGGTGTATATTTCTTAGGAGGCGATCACGCTGTTACTCCTTCTATCCAGACATAGTTAAGTACGCAATGAAGGAGAAGGCGGCTCTGTCCGTCTCCTTTTATTATTTCAGGGCAAGGCGAAAACGAAACCCCATAATTCGAATTGGCAACGTCTTTAATGTTGACCGTTTCACTGTCGCTGAAGTCATGAAGTCACTAGAGGTCTCATAATCATGGCGCCAGGTAATTTCAGCAGATTTCGTCATGAAAAATGACTATATTTAAAATTTGGGACCTAATATTTATCTCTGATAATGTTTGCATCCCCAGATGTTAAGACACATATAAGCATTTCACTTCCTAAATAGCAATAATGAAGATAGAGGAACCGTATAAACGACACTAACGTTCGTCATCTCAGTCTCACTGACCTGTCGCCGGGCACGCCGAACTTGTCGTGCATGAATTTGAAGATTTTCTCGGTGTAGCCGCGGTTGTGCTCCTGGTCAATGTTGTTGATGGCTGTGAGCCGACAGACGGCGCAGGGCTCGGCGGTGCCGGCCCACACCATCCGAGGGTTGGGTCGGAATATCACAGACAGAAACTGACGGCAAACGGCGACATTTGCGCATGAATGCACCGCAGGGAGGCAGTCAAGGCCGAATGCATGGTTTGCAGTCAGATCGTGTGGCCTCGGCATCAGTCACATGAGAAGGCCAAGTCCCAACTAACAGCCTGGAAGGCATTTGCAGATAATAATGATGACTTGGGCTTTGGGCTGTCCGGACTCCCGAGGTCTTCAGCGCCCTTATCAGCGAGATATACCGCGAGAGCCAATTATACCCTCATGCCGTCTATTTTTCTTCATAAAACACATGACGGAACTAACATTGTCATACTTAGTTTCAACGTAAAATCTGGCTTTTTGATGAGTAGGCACGAGAAGAGAACAAGAGAATAGACGGCGGCTTCGCTCGCTTACGCATAGAAAGATATTAACGCATACTCCCCTACTTCGCAAACATGTTTTATTTGTGCAGTGCTTTTCAGTAAAGGCTTCTCGTTTTCAGTGGTTTGTACCTTTGTTATGTCTCCAATGGATCCAAAGGACACAGGCCAATTTATGTTCATGATAATGGCACGGGCAATTGCTCAAATTAATCGGCGATTGAAGTACTTACCTCGTTGCTTCAACGGGCCAGCATGGTAGTCGTTACTTTAACTGGCAAATAACTGATAGCTCACCTTGACATCAAGTGACAGCATTTCGGCGAGCAGCTCGGTCAGCTCCATGGTGATCTGTGGAGTAATCTTGTCCTCCGAGACATTTGTGTCGATCTCGAACGCCGGCATGTTGCTCTCTCGGTGGCTGATGGGCCGCTGCAGCAGATAAGACTCCCTATGTGCCACCGACACGTCCTTCAGCACCCATCTGCCGGGCGTTATACGGCCGACCAGCATTTATGCATTTCCATCGACGGGCTCCATGTTCGCCGCCTCAGCTCGCAGCTCGACTTTGGGCTCCGCTCTTCACACGGACGGGCCAGAGCCGGCGGCGGATCGACGCCCTCTAAACGGTGCTCACGTCTGTTGGACCCGGCCGGGGAGGTCAGCGGTCAGCGCCCAGCACAATCCGCGGCCAGTGCACCGCTTTTTGCGCCCTGACAGCGATCAAAAAGCGACGTCGGCTCCTTTACACCAACGGCTGCGTTTCTGCATCAGCTCACTCTGTCTAGACTCTATTCCGGTGCGAATCGACAAAAATCTTGGGTACTAAACAGACACATCTAAACAATGAAGCTAACGCGTTAAATATGCGAAGAGATCAGAGATAAAGGAGAGGAAGTGATTTGTTATGTAGTAGATTTAATGACGTATTCACTCATTTAAAGGAAAAGGGCCACCTTTAACATGGGGATTGAAACTGAGATAGCCATCTTGTAGCCCGTGTCCGAAAACCCACCAGTCTGTATAGTTACGGCCGATTTCGGCTTCCATTCGTAGGTATCGGCAATTTTAAAAGAGGAATGCGTCCTTATCCCAGGAATGCGTCCTTACCCTGTAATACAGCCACCCGCGGCGAGGCTTTGGTTTTTTTACCAATCAGCTCCAATCAGCTCAGCTTTAACCAATCAGCTTATCTGACACAATCCGACGAGTCTGTCTTCTGAACGCTGATTGGCTTGAGTGTGACGTCATCGCTATGCCATCATACAGTAGGTGCCGTAGAGAGTATCAACATAGTACCAATATGTTAAATAGTTTTGAATACTTTTTCGCGAATTGTGCACTTCTGGCACCAGTTTTAAAAACAAAATGAAAAATAATAATGTCAAAATGAAAAACAACGATATCTTCATATTTCACGAAGGTGGCCCTTTTCCTTTAAGATGACAAAGGAAGTATCTCGAGCGCTTCAATAGTGACGTTGAAGGCCTGAAAGATGCCACTTCCAATGAAGGAAGAAACATAACTCTTTAACCATTGCGAATTGCGAAGCTACCTATAGGTACCCAACTTTTAGGTTTAGGTATTAATTGTACGATTGTATGTACGCCCTTCACAAAGAGCGTCGCTTGTTTGTTCGTTGATATCCATTCTCAATATGGTTCTCAATCCATTCTCAATGGTGAACAATAGGGCTTGGAGAATCATCGCTCTTTGGCATACTTAGGTGACCTACGGTGACCGAGTCCACGAATAGTTATTAATTAATTGAGAGGTATCGTCGGGGCAACTGTGCGAATCGAGACAGAGGGAGCATACCGAAACACCAGTTGTGTGCTCTGTCTGTTGTCGAGTGTTTCGATCGAACGATATTCAATTGAGAGGTCCCAGTTGCAGTCGGTCTCTTCGTGTTGTTTGAATTATTTGCGACAGGAGCAGCTGAATTGCTGTTGGCCGTTGGTGTACGAAGTATATATGTTTGTTAAATTATTGAACGGTGTGTGTTATTGGTTTTCAGCATGCGTAATGAGTGCAAAATAAGGGTGGGCTGGTCGCATGAGAACGGCAAGTGGCAACATTGCGCGTTCAGTGCACTTCGTATGGGCAGAACTTTATTATGTCACGAACCGATATTACATAGGCAAAAGCCGATAAAAACTGTCATGATTTCAGCGCAGTCTAGTCTGCGCTTTACGACCTCTCTGACGCCGCCGAGATATCGGGGCGCTGGGAGACAGGCGCCGCTCCAATCACTGTATTAGTGTATAGGGATGCCGATACAGTAATCTACCGACAGGGGAACACACATAGGTACAAAGACAGACTATTGACACATGCATAACTCGGGAACTTATTGGGCTACGACATGGTGAAAAAATGCGTTCGATAATATCGGTTGCTCTGACTTTAGGTCACCGATATACAAGATTCGAGAACCAGAATGATAAAAGGGCTCAAGGAGGCAATATGTATGTATTCCGCTTCTGTATTTGGTTGATATCTGACTGACAAACGACGTTTTAGAGTACCTAAATAGTAGGCACTAGGCAGTAGATTCCGTCCCAGAGAGGCGCAGATTAATTTTCCCCTATTGGACGTAGAAGAGATCGCAAAATGGCACCGATTTAAATAGGTATACTATAGCTGAATATCACCGAACCCAGCCAATCACTGATAGCCTTAGAACATGTTTTCAGTAGGTTAGAACTAGGGCAAGAATTTAGGTACTTTTTCTTGAGGTGAGTGGGACCATCTGACATGACCCGGTGAACTAACCTTGGATGAGCCCGGAGTGGAATTCTTACAACATATGTATACGCGAAAAGATGCATCATGACGTGTATGTAACAAGACAGCGGCATTTTCGAAAAAAGAGGGGGTAACCTCCTCCCTTCCCTCCCCCACCTAAAAACAGGGAGTCACCTCCTCCCTTGAACCCCCCCCCCCCACCTCCACAGCGCGGGCTGACATAGTCCATCCGACTGGTTTTATGGTGACTGCATGATAGCGGGAGCACCCGACCGACTTCCAAGAGCTGATGACTCGCCGCGTGGTCAGCGGTATACAGGTATAATGACGCACGGTCGACCCCGGCTCACCCCGGCCGGCGGAGGGCAGACGTATATTACCCTGGGTAGACGTGCCGGGAGGGCAGTCGTCGCCGTGCCAGCCGCCGGCAGCCCAGCCAAGGCCACGGGATCACGGCGCCGCCACGCCGCCGGCTGGAACCGCCGGACGTTACCCTGGGATCGTGCCGAACCCCGGCCCCACATCTGTGGCCCGCGGGCCGGCGTGGGCGTCCCGGGAACCCGCTGACGTTCGCCGGCGGCCGCGGCCTCGCCCGAGCACCTATCTACACCGCTACCGTATCGATTTTATGGCGCCGGTATTCTCTGACGGCGCTGCACAGGTTTACCGAGCGCCAGTGACGACTGGCAGACGGCAGTAGCCCGAGCCGCGGACGGCTGCGCCCAGCGGTCACAGCGGCCCGCGTCTGCTGACCGGGGCCACGCGCCGGCCGTCGCCATGACAACCAACAGGTGAGTCCAGACACCGTAGCTCATCAGAAAAGAGTCGGTCTCAGTTATGTGCCCCTACCGAGTCAATTATCTCCTTCAGTTTTTGTTTCACGCTTCTGTAGCGCGTCTAGCCAGCTGTCCGCTCTGGTCTGTGTGTTGGATGGGTCGTCTTAGCGGATCACTGCACTGCCCAACCGGTTTCCAACTTGTTAGTCGGGTCACCCATTCCGCTGTGGAGAACGGGTCGGTGTGGTCTGAAGACTGAACGTGATAACATTTAGTAACTGTATTTTCTGTATCTTGTCCCCCTCCTTTTATCTGACCTAGTGGCGGTCACTGTCAATCCCTTCAGATTTCCCCCTTTTTACGACGGCTTTATTTATGACTTATGAGTCATATAACTTGTATCTTACCTACCTAAGTTGTAACGATAATAATCAATGTTAATCTCAGGGCACGTCAAGCGTCGAAGATTTGGATCTGATTCAGTTTTGCAGCATTTAGGCATGACGAACTATTTATTTTGGAATTCACGCCGATGATTACGAGCGAGCGAGCGCAGCCAGCGAAGCGAGTCTTTTCAATATAACGGAAAAATCTCAGTATGAGAGGCCCGGCCCGGCCCGGCCTGTAACGCTTTTGAGAGGCTTATATCTCAGCAACCGCTGGACCGATTGGCCTGCGGTCTTTTTTGCTGGGTAGCCCCATCCCTTCTACCCCGTAATTGACTACTTTTGATACACCTCAGTGACCGTCGTGGCACGTGCCACGTGAAAAGTCAAGGGTGTTCAAGCTGTTTTGCAAAAGTAGTGATTTTGAGAGGCTCATATCTCAGCAGCCGCTTGGGCGATTGACTTGCGGTAATTTTTGTAGGGTAGCAGCATCCCTTCTACCAAAAATAGGATACTCCCGATGCATGTGGGTCACCCCCAGTGCACGTGCAAAATACAACAATGAGAGGTGTCAAATTTGTTCCCATTTTAATAACTCGGTAATTACTGGGGCGATTTGGCTGAAACTTGGCATACAGGTAGGCACCCACCAGGCAATATATTCCCATGTGTTGCGGTTAAGGTGCTACTGCACGTGCGCACGTGCAGGGGGCGCTTCCAGATCTCGAGAACGGCTGGGCCGATTGCGCTCAAATTTGGTACACGGTTGGGGACCAGTTAGTAGGGTGCCGTGCAAAAGTCAGTTTGGACCCCGTTTGCACGTGCGCACGTGCAGAATGCCGCTTCCAGATCTCAGGAACGGCTGGGCCGATTGCGTTCAAATTTGGTACACCGCTAGCGACCGGTTAGAAGGGTGCTTTGCGCAAGCCCGTTGGAAGTACCCTCTCGCCTTTCCGCACGTGCAGGGCTCACTATCTCGCTCGCTCGTTCTTCGCCCAAAAGGCGTTTTACTGGTATTTATATATTTACGTTGACATAATTCCATCCCGTCAATACGCTTCAATTATAATCGGAGCAGTGCAGCACTCAAATGATTATGCCTGCGGATAACTGGTGTCATATTTAGACATCAATCTGAGTTATATTCGCATTCAGACCCGACCAAGGAGCAATACCGCGGAGCCAAAGATGTCGGTACGAATGTAGCGGACCGATTTTGAATGCTATACCGTTGAGACTTTGCACACCGTTTACCTTGGAAGGATACATAAACGTGTTAAATACCCATGACAAATGAAAAGGAATGTTTTGGACCCATCAGCAACACCAATGTCCATTTGAATCCATATGTTATGGGAAACAACGGGTCGTGTTAATTTGCAATACTTTGGTTGCCTCTCAATTCAGCGTGAAAGCGATATTCCTGGACGGCAAGGGACCGCCGCGCTAAAAAATTAAAGGACTTCATGTCCTTGTCATTCATGGGCTTCTTGTCAGTTACATGGGCTCCTTGCCGAGACATGCACTCGGTGGGGTATCTGTTGTGTCAGTTACGCCCTTATATGTGTTTCACACTGAAAGTCATAAGGCGGGATTATCTATT